CCCGAGGCAGAGTTGCTCTGCCCCAGGCTTCCTGGAATCAGCGCTCATCAGTTTCAGCAGCAGCTGACTTGGGGAAGCTTGGGGTTCTTAAGTTGATTCTGTATGTAAGTCAGAACTGGCGGTCAGTTTCAGCAGCGGCTGAATCTGGATTCCAGTTCCGACTTACATACAGATTCAACTTAAGAACAAGCCTACAGTCCCTATCTTGTACGTAACCTGGGGACTGCCTGTATGTACCTGCCACCAATATGAACCAGCTCCACCCCAAACCCATCCATCCTTGGGGGCAAGAAGCACAGAACTGAGGGAAGCTGGGAGACTACCTTACTATAGAAACCTATGGTGGGAGTGGGCTTCATTGCACAGACAAGGACAAGTTTCTAAGAAGGATGGCTTGTAGTGAGTTTTCTTCACTTCTTTGAGAAGGTCTAAAGCCCCACACTGCCCTCAGGGTTGCCTATAGGCATGATTGTGTGGCCAAGGAGTTGTCTTGTGTGGTCTCCTGAGCCAGATCTCCAAGGAAGGTCTCGGTGACCCCTAGAAACACAGAGCTATAGAATGCTGCCTACCTGGGGCTGAGCCAAGCAGGTGAGCCAGGTCTCGTGCTGTAGGTGCCAGGTATCTGAAACCAGTAGATACGAAGGGCATCCTGACTGGTTCAAAAGTCTCCCTTCTAAAGGTGAGAGACCGGTCTGCTCAAATACCCCAAAGTCCTGCGAGAACAATAGTGCAAGAGGCACGTCAAGGGAGACGCAAGGAAAGAATCAGCGGGGTGAAGGCCCCAGACATAGATGGAGAAGGAGGGGCCCAGGGAGCAATAGCAGAAAAACCCTTGTAGAGACCCATGAGGACTTTGAGTAACATAGATGTGAAGCAGATTGGCCAATGGGCAGGCTAGAGCCCCAAAACCAGGTGTTTTGTCTCCTTTGCTGGAACTCCATGCCTTCCATAGAGCTCAGTCTGTAGGTGGCTCAAGGGATAGCACCATCCTGGCCATTCCATTTGTCATTCGAGGAAGTAGATGTGTCGCTCTGGTTAACAGCACATGACTGGGACCAGCAGGACCTTAGCTTCCTCCTCTTCCAGCAGGGAAGAAGTTAATGTGCTTCCCTTACTGGGGTTAGCAGAATTTCAATTGCCTCTGGTAAGCCAAAGAGTTGACAAGCTATTCTGAGAGTGATGGAAAGACCGGGTGGGCAGCTCTGGAGCCCTGCAGGGGGCAGCATCAAGGCACCTCCATACCAAACACTGGGGCACAATAAGCCGGTACAGCCCATCTGGGTGCAGGAATGGGAACCATCGAAGTGATCTCCCCATAAAGAACAGCAGCGCCTGCAATGGGACAAGAGGAGAAACTGATGAGGGAGAGCTCATCTTGTCACTATGGTGGGAGTGGGCAAATGGAAAGGAAAGCAAGCACACATCGCCTCCAAGAATGGGGGCAGAGCGCCCTGCAGTAAAAGGCTGGATTACAAGTGATAATGGGATGTGTGACTTGTGGAACTCTTCATGGTGGGCCAGGACGGCCACTTGCAGTCACCTACATCAATAGCCAAGAGACAACCATCCTCACAGTCTCTGTGGACCCAGCTGCCTGAGGGTCAGGGGAATCTCCCAATACCGAGATCCAGCTCACATCCTTACCAGAAGGCCACCCTCCCACAGCTTCCTCCAGCCCTCCCTTACTCTCTGTTGTGCCTTGCTGTCCTTGTTGGTCTGCTCCAGCTCTGGCAAGTTCCCAATTTCCCTGGGATGCCTCCAGAGCTGAGGTTTGCTCATCCAGAGTACGGTGACTTGGAAGCTGAGCTGCAGATCCTGCCCCTTTCCATCTCCTCCTGCAGCCGGAAGGTAGTTGCGAGACATAAGCCCCTCTTTCTGTGTGACCAGGAACAGACGGGACATGCAGCTGGTTCCTCTGGCACTGCTCTGGCCTCTATCACAGCACTCTGCAGTGCCAGCTCCTGGGCTGGTCCTCTCCAGCTTTGGCACCTTTGCCTCTGGGGATCTCAGCTCCACCTCTGAGCACTGACCATCCTTCTTCCCCAACAAGGGACTGTCACTGCTTGTAGGACCCTCTTGGACATGTCTCTCAGGCATATGAAGAATCTGCACGTCTTCAAAGCAGAATTGCACATATAGCCTAGAGAGAGAAAAGGTGACAAGAGGCGACATCAGTGCAACTCCAACTTAGCAGAGATGGGGGGAGGATTTCAAACTAGGTGGCCAGCAGAGAGAAGCCCTGGTCAAAGGTTCAGACAGCAGGCACAGGTGGAGTGGACAGAATGGGATGGTGAGTTTGTCTCTCAGAAAGAAACTCTGTTCATGCGGACTGCATAGGAGATGCATGTAGGAACCAAGATATCACGTTGATAGGCAACTTCTCGAATTTCACAAGAAACTGTGCATGTGCGAACATGCGTTAAGTGGTGGTGGAGGAGATTTAATGGGCACACACTTTGTGGGACTCCCCAGGCTGGTGCCATAGAAGGAAAAAGGAACAGCCAGGAGATTCAACTGCATTGGGGAACCTTGGAACTAACCAGCAGGGACTTGTCTAAACCACTGCATGCTCAGGTGAAAGGACAGTGGTGGACTATTCTGGGGCCAAACAAGTGAGGAGGGAACAGTAAGAGCAGGTGAGAGCACAAGCTGAGGAGCATTGCGCTGCTCCCCCATTCATCTCTACCCATCCTGAACTTCAGAGTGATTCTTCCTCTCATCTAAGGTTCTGGAGCTGTTCTCCAGGCTTCTGGCCTATGCCTCTTCATGCCATGCATCCAGCTCCAGCACATGACACTGTGGCCCAAAGGCCCAGGATCATTTCCCACTTCTGTTTAAGTTTTTCACTCATCCGTTTGGGACGCCAGGGCCTTATTCTCCAAGGCCCAGCATAAGGGACACTTACCTTGTTTCTTTGCCCCTCACATGTTCCGGAGTCAACAGTTGCTCCCAGGAGGGAAAGTCACTTTGAAGAAATCGTTCCACCACAAGCTGGTAGGCTTCCACCTGCAAAAGGGATCCTGCAATCAAACCAGAGAGAAGAGGTCAGCCAATAGACAGGCATAGCAGAGAGAGCAAGCTCAGTGTTTTCGCTTGCAAAGCCAGCAGGCAAGGTAAAAGAGCTCAGTGCTCCCCTCCCATCTCCTGCCCACATCCTGGGGCCAACTGGCAAGGTGGCAAAGCAGCAAGAGACCAAGATCTCCAACTTGAGCTGAGTAGGATGCACCTATGAGAGCTGTGTCACTGAAGGGACTGCCATCTCTGTGGGATATTACACAGGGAAGCAAATCACTCTTGTCCCGCAGCTGAAGGGAGCCGCTGCTGGAGGAAGCTCTCAGCACTCCCAGCAATACCTGCAAAGGAAGAGAATCAACCAGTCCTCAACTTGAAGGGCATGGGACTGAAGAGTCCTGCACCATCCCTCAGCAACCTACCACCACAGATAGGGAAAGCAGGATCCTCCCCACATGTCAATTAGGAGGAGAGTAAGCCCCAGTCCTCCTCCCCCATATATCACAGTGGGAGGAAGGAGGGGAGTAGGTCAGATAGCAAGTGGAGTTTTGGCACGTACCATTCGGGGTTGGAAGCTCTCTGCTGAGAATGCATTATAGGACCAAGCCAGTCTGCGATTCAGCTCCTGGGTGCCCATGTGCTGGGCATCCAAATGGGACAGCAGCTGTGACGGATTAAAGGCTTCCCAGCTTCTCTGCTCAGCCACAGAGCACAGCAGAGAAAGAGGTGGGGCCTGGCATGGGGGCTCCAGGGGCTGATACTAAGTGATACAAAAAGCAAGAAAAAAAATGAGTCTCCTCCCTTCAAGCAAAGGGAGGGAGCACTGGGAGCAGGGCCTTACTTGCTGCAGGGGACAATGGTGCATATCTGCTAGGATCTCACGATGAACATCTCTCACTCGCTCCTTACAAGGCACCACAGCTTTCAGAATGGGGACAAGAAACTTCTCGGCTATTCCAGGCCTCTGAGGGCCCGAGCAGATGAACAGCCGCCGGCGCCCAAAGAAACAGCAAAATCTGAGAGGAGGAACAATACAGATGTTAGTAGCTCACCCATAGTTACGGAGCAGTTTTGCACATAGAGCAAGGAAATTACTGGGAATCTCTTAGGATACTGAGGGCCCGCTTGACCTACAGCACAAGATTTGCTTGTGCAAAACTGGATACCTGATCCCTAACACCACCAGTTTGTTAGTCACCCAAACAATCTCCTCAGGGCTCACCCAGCCAGGCTAACCAACAGTGCACCTCAATTTTCTTTGAAGCATTCCTTTGTGATCCAGCTCCTGCCACGAGACACTCTCAGAAATTACTGGTTTGCTGTCCCCAAGGCAACAGTATACAATACACTAAGCTTGACTAGTAAAACTTGGGATTATCACTGCTCTGAGATACATTTATAGTGAAAACAATCCTAAGTTTATTACCAAAGACTAAGATTTAAGAGGTAGTAAGGATAATGGAAACAGAAATAGTTACATGTAAAACAAAAAACATAAAATGTAAATCTAGGTCCACACTTATCAATGGTTATTTTTTGTATTTAATATGGTAGATTTCCCCCAAGAATCCTGTCTTTTGCAAACCTAGCTGGTTTTTAGTCATACTAGGATCCAAACATCCAACCCACCCTTCAACGGGTGAATGAACAAATCGTCTCCTTGCATTCTATTTATTTATGTTCTTCCAAGTTCATTCCCACCCCGACTGGACAGCCCCCTGGGTTTCAGTGTCCAGTATCCTCCCATTCCCCTATTCGCTCTGTATGCAGATTTGGCTTCCATTGTACTGGCTTGTAGTGCTTCATTTACATATGATTGCAATTCAGAAAATTCTGACCACCTCTAAAATCTGCACAAAAGATATATTTAAATTCATAAATACACAAATAACATGTCAAATGCCAATAGGAGAGGAAGGATAGGTCAATGGTTAAAACAGCCTAAGTCTTGGTAGAATTGAATTCACCATGACTTCTTGTGCAACTTTGAGCAAGTCACTCATCTACTTGGTCAGTACTATAAAACAGAAGTATGTTTCCCTACCACTCAGACACGCCTGTAAAAGGAGCCATATAAACATAATAGTACTTCAGAGTTACAGACATCCCGGGAAAATGGAGATTGTTTGTAACTCTGAACAAAAGATTATAATTGTTCTTTCAGAAGTTTTACAACTGAGTGGCTAATACATCTTTAAGACTTTAACATGCAAAAGAAAAATGTTGCTTTCCCTTTAATTTTTAGTAGCATACATTTAATGTGGTATTGTTCTGTATTTGTTTTTTTTTGTCTCTGCTGTTGGCTGAGCATACTTCTGGCTCCAAATGAGGTGTGTAACTCTGGCATTTATAACTCCAAGGTTTTCCTCTACCTAAAATACATAGACTGTACATGGTTTATTAATAAACCATACATGAATACTGAACCACTTCATGTGCCAACAGCATGCACTTGGTAAACATACAAACTGCAAAACACGGATCATAAAAATTACATGGAAAATACATTGGTTATAGCAAGAATGTCTTAACCATATTTTAATATTACAGCTTCCATAAAATACAATCTAACTAGAGATCTTAAGAATACAGATGATGAAAGGAAGATGGGAGTATCACGGTAGTTTTTTTAATTAATGATACCCTTGGTTATAATCTATGAATGTCATACCCCAGCCCTCTCCTCAAATAGCACTAAATTCAAAACCAACAAATCTTTAAAAGAAAAGGCCCATGATCATCATTAGTGGTCAGCATGTTTTTAAAAACAAGACAGAGAAGAAATGAACAAAGAACTGAAGACTGTAGCAATTTTAAGGCTATTTTAGTGGAGGATATGATAGATGTATGTACTGACCAGGGACAGATGAAGACTGAACTTTCTGTACATTTTTGTAGACTGGCGGCTGTGTAGGGTGTGACATAACTGCATGTATCATAATGTTTAATACTTGGATTAGCAGTTGGACTTGAGCAACCTTAACTGCTCCAGAACAAAAACCATGTTACGTAACAGAACCCAGGAGTTGTTGCAGAAACCAACCTACAACTTCTCTGGGGAACAAAAGTGAAGCCATCAGTGGGCTGGCAGAACCATCAAGGACACGTGTGTGGGGTGGAAGGGAAGAAGGGCAGTGAACTGTCAAGGAGAGCTCTGAATGGCCAGCACAACCATTTCCCAATGGGATTGGGAAGGGAGTGTCCTCACCTCTGCTCCAGCATCTCCAACAAGCTCACCAGCCACAGATAGAGCGGCAGGCCTAGGTTGAAGCGGAAGAGCAGCTGCATGTAGAGATTTCTAGAGGAGACTACAAGCTGGTGGAAGGTGCTGAGCCTCGAAAAACCCTTGAGAACAACAGTGCTTTGCAGACAGGCACCAAGGATGACAACAAAGGGGAAAGAAGCCAGGGGTTTCTGTAGGAGGTGAACATCTCGGAGCTGAGAGACACAAACATATGACTTAATAGCAAACAAGTGGCCATTCTGCTGTCTCTTCCCAAAAACTCTCTCACCCCCACACAAAGCCCTTTACATTTCTCATCAATCCAAAAGGGCCTTCAGTGACCTGTTGTCACCTACATGGCAATCAGGGGAACACACTGATACTATTAGCCACCTCTGGCCAAGTCCAGAGACAGTCATACTCTGGATTTAGCCGGGTTCTGGGCTACCCTTGGTTGATTTAGTATTCCTGCTCCCACACTGCACACCAAGCTTGCTCTACACACCACCACCCACAAGCCTGAGCTTCAGCTACCTCCTGGTGTGCTTCAACTTCCAGCCATATCACCTTACCTCCACACATGCTCCTGGTCGGAGTCCACGGGCAGAGTTCAACTGCTGCTGGTAAGCAAGGCACAGACAGACCTTGTTATCAAGCTCATAGAGGCCAGCCTGGGCATTTAGTACTTGGGTGATGGTCCCCTGGAGTAGGAGCACAGATAAGGGCAGTGAGTTTACTAAAAGCGCAGAGGGCACTACAGCACTATGGCCTAGGAGAAAACCTAATCCCACAGCCAAGACAGTGCCCACACGCCCTGCAGGGCAGGAGCTGAAATTCAGGGGCATGGGGGGGGTCTCTCATAGAGGCCAGCCTGGGCATTTAGTACTTGGGTGATGGTCCCCTGGAGTAGGAGCACAGATAAGGGCAGTGAGTTTACTAAAAGCGCAGAGGGCACTACAGCACTATGGCCTAGGAGAAAACCTAATCCCACAGCCAAGACAGTGCCCACACGCCCTGCAGGGCAGGAGCTGAAATTCAGGGGCATGGGGGGGGTCTCTGA